ACAGGAATTGATGGATACTGGAGGAATCATATTATATATTGCCACAACCAATTAGATACAGCACATAAAGCAGCAGATCCATTCCCTCTTTTCACAAACCGCAGCTCAGATGACACTCAGATAATATGAAGACGTGAAATGCATTTTCATATTCTCTCTCCTCACTCTCCTCTCTCTCTCTTTTCCAACATCTACTTCGGGTGTCTGGACAAATTATAACATCCTGAGGATTTATTGTACATCTGACACACCAGTAACCAAATTATAATTCAGCTGCAGTCGGCGTATTTGCAAAACCACTGTATAAATCACACAGAAAGAGCGTTTCGGTTAGTGTGGGGCTGCCCAAAAGGTCAGCAGTCAGATAAAAGGTGTGGTTTGGTGTTACGCATGAAGAGCTTCTCAGTTAGGATACCTGGGGGCTTCTAATTGCTGCCAAAACTATATTTAAAAACATGTGATTGGAGATTCAGCCATTTTTTAAAAAATCTAGTTAGCTTTAAAATGTAATGAAAGATACCTACAGGTGGTGAGTGTGGTGTTGTGCAGAGGAGGTATTTTTCTTTAGTAGAGAAAACGGAAGCTGGTCAAAGTTGATGGTAAGAATGAGAGATAACCTGTTATAGAGTGCAAATGATTTGAGACGGGAGCAGAGTTTTATTCTACACCAGGACAATGACTCTGATCATACAGCGAGCCAGAGCTAAAATATAATGGTTGAGATTAAAGCATGTTCGGTTGTTGGAATGGGATAGTTGAAGTCTAGACCTACATCAATGGAGTGGGCAAGAAAAGCAGGCATACATTTCATAAGCGGTCCAAAGATGAGTGAAGCTGGTAGAGATTAAAAAATTACAGCTAAAGGTGGTTCTACAGAGTATTGTGCATGTGCACGCCACACTTTTCAGATTTTTATTTGCGTTCCATTTGAAAAACAATGAGTCATCTTCCTTGCAGTTAATAACCAAGCATTACTTGTGCATGTTTTGCATTGCATAACCACTGTATTTTGTAAAGTGACAAAATGTGCAAAGACATAAGAATACTTTTACGTGGAAAACGTTTTGTTTCACATGTTGGAAAAATAAACATTTAATTTAAAAAAAAATCTATACTAATGTTTCCTTCATAGTACTTATTTGGTTTTTGTGTAATGCACATTTTTAAGATCCTGCCAAATGTAAGTGTTTTCATGTGGTGCAACTTTTAGTCCTAATGATTCAATTACTTCAGAAGCAATATGTAGAATGGAGTCCACTCATAAATGCAATTACCGCGAATCAGCTTAAAAGTAAAGCATTAATCTCTGTTAGCTCTGGGGCTTTAAAGAAATGTGGACATAGTTAGATGATGCAGGAAAGTAAAAAAAAAAAAAAACATTTCTTTCAAATAAATTAAAGCTTCTTATCCAAAGTAAGCAATGAATCAAGATTTCTACACTTGCGCATTAAGATGATTACTATTTTGTCATTTTTTTTTAAAACTCCCTATTTAATCTTCTGCTAAATCAAACTTTTTTGGTTTTAAAGATCAATATTAAATTTCATTCAACAGAAAATAATCTTTTTTTTATTTTATGTTTGACGGGTAAAAACCGAGACAGGTGTCGATTACAGCCAATGAGAACTCCTTTTCATACAGCAAGTTTACATAATTATGTATTTATGTATTTATTTATTTATATGTAGGACGCCTTTGTCATCTGGCATGCTGCACTCAATTTGAGCTTGACTGACAGCTACATCCAGGTTTGCAGTTTATTAGTTTCAGAAGAGAGAGCCAGATCTGCCAATTTGGACAGGAAAGTGACAAAAAGTTTCCATCTAAATAGAATAATTCCACTTCTGGGAATTCTCACATGCAGAAAAAGGGAGAGTCCGATTCTCTCTTTTATTTTTTATTCCCCCCCCCCTTTCCTCCTCCTCCCTCTCTAACTAGAGCTGTGAATGACAAACATACACGACAGCTAGAAGCTGACAGAATATCAGATTTTGACGCTTCGTGGGGGAGCCATGAAATAAACAAAAGGCAGAGAAATTGAATTACAAAGCAAGAGGAGGCTTTGGAGTTCTGCTAAGAAAGCTGTTTTATTGTTGAAGCTTAGCAATGATATTCGCCCAGGTCAGTTATGTCAAACTCCCTTTCGCTTTCAAGCTTTAAAGCAATTTTTAATCAAGAAATGCTCCTCCTGCTGACATAAATTCTAATGTACGTGCCACTTTATCACGTACTCACTCTGCCCAAATCCTTTGAAAATCACAAAGCTCTAATCAAAACAGTGTCCACTTGTCATAAATCAATAACAATATAACTAAATCACACAAGGTGGCAGTGGGAGAGGGATTACGGAGCAAAGGAAGAGCGAAAAGAAGCTCCGAGAGGGATTTTATGCATAAATCTCTCCCTTGCAACTTGGCACAAATTGAATTCAGGCACAGTGCTAGAAAAATTAATTCAGCTTTACAAAGCGGGGAGAGGTTAAACACTTTATGTGCTGCTCAGTGATCCAAATCATGGAGAAAACATTCAGAGGCATTCTCACTGTAGTCTCTTTCTCTCCACTGTGTGATCTTTATATCTCAGTAGGAAATGTGTGTATTTTGAACAATACAGATGCAGTTATCTGTCATCTGAAGCTAAATTTGTAGACACTGCACACTTTCTTAATTTATTTAAGAATAGGCGATTCACACAAAGAGGTTCTGACTGTAGAATGTGGCTGAAAGCCTTAAAAGAATCACTCTGTGCACATTACAGCGTACTGGGAATTTGGAATGGGAGCGAAACATATGCTCCAATATTGACTTGTTCAGTTTTGAAATCCGTCAATGTTTAGTTACTTTAGAGAAAAAAAATGTTGAGAAAACAAACCTATCCAAACTGATAACACAATTGCAAGATTTTTCAATGTATTGCAGCTTTGAGGTAGATGAAAGGCGAACATTTTGGTCTTATCTGGCCAGAACTGTCCTTGCCAATATGGCTCATGACACATTAAATTTCATGACTTCTTTTGTGTTTCTTTAAACATTGACTTTCTTTAAACCAATCTTCCTTTAAAGCCAGGTTAGCAAACTTCCACAACCATTAATTATCCCGTCGAGAGATTCTCCCACCTGAGCTGTGGATATCTGCAGCTCCTCCAGTTAACATGGTGATTTTGGCTTCTTTTTTGCTTAATACTCTTCATGCCAGGCCTGTCAGTTTAGGGAGTGGCATAACCTGGTAAAACCAGCCTCTTGTTTTATGCTCTGCTTCAGCAGAGGGTCTATTGAGAAAAGATTGTCTGTTGAAGCTTTGAACAACTGGATCTAACTTTACCGAATTTCTAATATTTGGCAAGAATGTATGTAATGCGGCAGCTCGATGAAGCTTACCGTAAACAACCATAAGTGCCAAGCTGTAAACGAGAGGGGATATGATATCTTTACTAGGATTAAAACGTCTTGGTCCAACTTTAATTGGTGAAGTTCTAGAAGCATGGCCAACTTGAGCTGAATGACTCTGTTCACTTCCTCCAGTGCTATTATCAAACTGCAGCTATAGACAGGTCATAATTCAAAAGCAGTGTAGAAAAACTGCATCACTGTTCACAAATCCTTCTGAAATTCACCCTGACAAATCCAGCTCAATGGGAGAAATCAGACCAAGCGCTGAAGGGAGATGAGAATTGCACAGGAAGACAGTGGCCTTGTCTGAGTAGACTCGCATTTGTGCGCAGTTGCCAAACTCTTGATTTTTCAGATGTTGAACTGAACAGTCATCTATGAGACGTTGAAGGATTAGGATATTACTTTCTAATAAAATTCTAATCTAAGCTTCTTACCAGTGACCTGTCTCATGAGTTCCTTGGTCTTGACGATGCTTTTGTTCACTAATATCCTGACACAAACCTCTGAGTCCTTTACATAACACCTGGATTTATGCTCCAAGTAAATTACACACAGGTGGACTCAGTTTACCAATCAGATTACTTCTGGAGTTTGGTGTTTGGCAGATTTAGAAGAAAAGGGGTCATGCCACATTTTTTAAAAACATTTCCTTTTGTTAAAAATGAACAAAAGCATCCTTCTCTAATTCTGATTCTAAATGTCAGAAGACATGAAGCACATATTGCATATTTATCCATTTAAAAATGGGCATCAAATGAAGTTTTCTGTTCCACAAGTTATTGATTAATAACTTACAGGTCTCTAGTAACTAGTATTATCTTAAAATATAAATTGGAGGTCACAAAAATGCTTCTGTTGCTTTTTTTATTTTTAAGGAATTCTTCAGACTGACAATTAGTGTGACTGACAATTCTGTTAAAGCATTTTATTCAAGGTATTTTCCTCCCCTGTTTATCAGATGAGCTCAAATTAAAGGGTACATTTTCTAAATTGTTATATGATAAGACCTCTGCATTAACATATTTTATTTAAATGGTGTTTCACAGTTCACTGACCCTATAAAGTATTTTTAGGTTTGGAATATTGAAAAGACATTATCATTACTGTGGTAATCATAATCTAACAGTAATAAAAAGTCACTGTGTAAGACAAGAAAAAAAGAAATCCAGAATTCCATTTAAAATATATATATCATTAGAAAGTTAATTTCTTTCAGTAATTCAATTCAAAAAGTAAAACACATGCCAATTCATCGCATAGAATTATAAATTTCAAGTCTCTGATAGTTTACGTGATTATGCCTTACATCTATATTAAAACAAAATGTTGTTCTTCTGCAAGGCATGGACTCTTTTTGCACCAGTTACTGGATAAATGCAGAGTTGCATGGAAGTGATCAGGTCAAAGTGCTTTAAATGTTGCCTTCAACTCATCTGCAGTTTTGGGTGTGGTGCCCCCCAAGCCCTGACTTTTTTATTTAAATAATCATCATCTACAGTAACAGAAATGGAGACTGGATCTATGAGTTGAATCACCAGAACAGGGACCATTCCTGATTGGATATATTTATCTGATTGCTTCAGTCAGACACGTCACACAAATTGTTTTGCATAAAAGATTTCAGACACTTTTATTATTGTACAAGTGATACCGGCATAATGAAAGTGATAATACCCATGAACATGAAAGACAGTTTTTCCTTACTGTATATACAGAGAAGTGTCTTCATATCGCACACACACATACACACACGCACGCACGCATACCCTCGTCCCCACACACGCACACACTCGCATATGCACACACAAAATGCTTCTACAAAATGAACAAATTGTAAATAACATAACATTAAATAAACTCCACCTACCTTTAGGTTTACAGCTGAATATGCATATGATGACCATCTTTGCACTGCATAGAATTTATACATATAATTTTCCTCGTGACCATTGTGGGCTTTTCTAATAATAATAATAATAATAATAATAATAATAATAATAATAATAATAATAATAATAATAATACTAATAATAATAATACTGCTCTCATGATGCATATCGGTGGCCTGTAAATTAACATTAAAAAGAACTAAGTCTTTGGCAAACGCAAATACATTCAATTGACAGATGAAGAAAAAAAAAATGATTCCAGCTTTGCTGAAAAAAATAAAAAAAAAAATAAAAAAAAAATAAAATGTACTTGTCCTGAAACATGCGGGAGTTAAAGTTAGGAGGGCACATGTTTAAGGCATTTATAGTTGAAATTGTCACCCTGCTTTTCGATGTCAGAATCATCCAATCAGAGTGAATCCAGACAAATTAGATTTGGAATGGCTGTTATATCCTTACTTCTGCAGATGAATGCCAAAGACTTAATGAACTTAAACATAAGAAGTGAGAACATAAAGTAGTATAGTGCACATCAAGTCAGTGAGACGATGGGCTTTGAAAAACTGTAAGTGCCTTTAGAGACTGAGACGCAGAAGACTTAGTCAGTTTTTCTTTTCTTTTTTCTTTTTTTTTACATAAAACAAATATGCACATTTAGTTTTTCTGCATAACCACAGTCCAGTGTTGCAAACCTCCAAAATAGTGCAAACTTAACACAAAAATAAAACACTCAAAAGGTTTTGCCTGATTACCTTCCTGACAAATAGAGAACAAGTCAAACATTAGCCAAGCAGTCTGCAAATTAGTCTTTACAAATTATAAAAAAAAAAAAAAAAAAGAAATAAAAAAAAATATTTTAACTGGAAACCTTGCAAATAGTGAGCCACGGTGCTATAATAACATGGCTCCCGCTATTATTTCCAAACAGGTGTTTATTTCATTTTTCATTTTTACATCTTGATTGTGTCTCACAGAAAACATGTCCTAATCTTCTCACGGCATCAAAAGCGATTGATTTTTTTATTTTTATTTTTTCTTCCACTCATGCTGGATGTTTGGTCAGTGCCTGCTCAGATGGACTGGAAAAACAACCGCCACAGCCTGCGCGGGTTGCTGCTCATCTCCCTTGATCTCTGTGCATTGCGATTTGATTCCAGTGGGAGACAAATGGTAAAAACAGGGGGGGAGAGAAAAAAAAAGACTGCTGATATATTTCAAGCTGTGGACAGTATCCCTGCTGGGACCCATTGAGGAAAGGAATGTACAGTATTGATCTGTTATGGATAAAAGAGTGGCACCACAGGTGGGGAAAATAAATTCAGGATGTTTTTGTCTGGAGTCCTGTTTTTATTTTTATTTTTTAAACCATTGCAATTAGCCAAGGGTTCAAACTTTCACTTGTTCCATAATTGTGTTCCAAAGAAAAATCCAAAGAAAAGCTGTAATGAGAGAAGATGGCGGTTGTCTTGAATCCGTGAATTCTCTCTTCTGTTTTTGTTATTCTTTTTATTTTTTGTTAGTCGGGGACGTTTTATGCGCTTTTTGCTCAGTGTCCAATGGACCGTGTTCTTCACACCTGGGCAATATGGAGGCTGAGGCCGTGGTCCTGCAGGTTGATTTGGTTTCCATGGTAACTAGTGACGGTCATAGGCAGTGGCAGCAGTGGGAGGGGCGGAGCCTCTCGATGCGGCACTATAATAATAAGGGGAACCTGAAAGTTAACAGAAGAATGAACCATTTGAAACAACAAATTACAGCTTTCACTACCATTTACCAAATAAATGACCATGAATGACACGTACAATAAACTGCATTACACTTATATAAGAGTTATAGGTAATTATCCTTGCTGTTGATGCTATTTTATTATTTATCTGAAAATGGCCAGATATACTTCAGTCCTCACCCAACTTTGTTTGTCATAGTTCCAGTTGTTTTATGCTTTTTAATAACTGCTCTGATGCAGATGCTGGCAAGTCATTTTCTTGAAGATCGCCTGCCTTACTTGGACTGAATGATCTCTAGTCTTTCCCTTTTTGAAGAGCGTCTGAGAAATGGATCTCTGTCATCATATTTACCCAAACGTTTCTAGTAACACAGGAAAAAGTACCTAACTGCTTTTTTTTAAAAATAAGTTGCTAGAGGGGTCTGAAAATTTTCTAAGTATAGCGATTTAATAAGTCTGAATATTGAACAATTACTTAAACAAATTGTTGGCGATTTACAAAGCTGCTGACAAAATCTCTGTTCGCTCTTGTAAACTTAATATTATATCCTTCTCTGATGGCTGGATTTAATATTATTTAACACTTTCTGTAGGGTTTAGTTAAAACCCTACAGAAAGCAACAATAAATATCCCAGTTTTGGTGTAGCATAAGCATAAGCATACAGAAATAACAAAACAAATCCTATTCACAAAGTCCTTTATATATTACATCATGTTTTGTAGCTCTGCAGAAACAGACAGTTCAATTGTGCCTTTTAAAACTCTACGGATGAGGACATCCAGTGATAAAGACTCCATTTGTCTCAAAACGATAAAATAGGGGATTATGATTGCTGGATCACTTATTCGTAACCTGCTGGACTGGTACGGCAGCTGGTACGCTGCAACTCTAACCAACGCTACTGAGACAAGTTTGTCAGTCATTTACGTCTCATCAAACACTACTCACTTAGTAATGCTGGATTGCTGAATCGCCAGGCTTCGTTGTAGGTCGTATACTGCGGATGACTGTAGGGGTTCCCCGAAAACTCACTCCCTGCAAAACAAAACAATAAATCAATTAGCATTTCAATACGTCAAAGCCCATGCCACTTCACATGCACTCATCTCTCGTCATTCAAAACAGGACGCAATTTGAGGCCGAGAGTGATAGTCATCAGTGTGCACCCAGTCAAGCAAGTAATTTATTTCTTTTTCATTTCACTTAAGTTATGCAACACTGAACAATACAGGATGTGACACTGAAGGTGGCTTTCCCTGTCCCATTTATGGATATCTAACCCTTTCTTCTGCGGCCAGCACATTTCAAGCCGCTCTAATAAATACAGAGTGGTCATAAACAGCTCCATGCATAAGTTTTTGATTTGTTGCCGTAAATCCCGCTGCCTTTCTTTGGAGAATCTTAACGTGTTCAATCTGAAGCCTCTTCGCTTTGAGCTCGGCAGGCTTCCTGCAGCAGGATGTCATTGCAGGGGAAGTAACTGGGAACATGTCTGTGTGAGCGTTGCTGTTTGTATAACATGTTTCTTTCCTTTTATGAGACAATAAAGGCCAGATTTTTATACGAGGCTGGTGAGAAATGGCTTTCCTTTAACAGCGTTTGGGTCCTGTCACTAAAAATTAGCCGCTGTGTATAGGACGAATCGGTTATGACACAAAACCACAAGCCATAGGATTAAGGTGCTCATCTTTGCTGCTTGCCACAGAAGAACAAATGGAAAGTAAAAGCAGGTCTGTCTGGCTTCTTTTCCTCCCGTGTGATTTACCGGCTTCATCGTCTATAATCCAAACATAAATGTAGACGGCGACTGCTACTGGGAGCGGTTTGCTTCGTTTTTACTGTCAGCTGTTAAATGGACGTTGCTGTTTGCAGAAGTATGCTGGTAAATGTAAAATCTATTGATTTCAAAAGAGTAAATTTACCCTGATTTTTTCTTCTTCTTCTTTCACTTTGATGGTATGTTAATTCATTCGGCATGAAGGATATACAACAAATCAAATTATATCATTAAACCAAAAGGTAGAAAAAAAATATAACAGCCCATCCCTAACCCGTAAAGAAATAGTCTTTTTGTTGATGGATCATTAAGATGTATTGTAAATTTCTCGCCTCAGTCATCTTTGGAGCCATTGCTTCCACTTGCTTTGTGCACTCTCTGTTTTTCTCCTCTATAGAAAGTACCTCGGACTCATTTCTTCTATGTTTAAAACTTTATAAGCTGAGCGACTGATGGACCTAGTGCTGCAACTAACTGTGCATATTTCTTGTTTTCTTCCCCATAGAAAGTGCTCCTGAGTTATCCCTCATATGTTTAGGTGTCATTTTTGTAAACTGAGCCGCTGTCTTATTTCTTTCAGCAAACCCAGGTTCTCCCCCCCTAAATATTTTTTAGACCAATGTCCTGCCATTACTATTGTCTCCAATTTAGTTTCCTGATAAAAAGTAAGTCTGGAACAGTTTGGCTCCGTCTTTTCCCTGGATTGAGCCATTGTACTCCTTACTAAGGAAAGTACCCATCACTCTGTGTTTCTATGGATGGAGCCATTGAGTGTTGCTGTCGTAGCCATTCCTTAAGCGTATTTTATTTTTCTTTCCCATCGAAATTATTCCTTGCTCACCGCTTCTATGTTTAGAGCCATTGCCGTGATGATTTATGTCTTTTTACTGTTTTCATTGCACATAGAAATCAATATTCTTCACCTCTCTGCATAAGTCACCATTAACGTCTCCTCACCCTGCTTTACGGCTTCTACACATTTCCATTTCGAGGGTGACACCGCACCATATTCGACCCTAATGATAGCGGGAAACGGTGGTGCCGTCTTCAACTCACCAGGAACCATTCCAGCGAGTGTCGAGGTCGGGTAGCTGCCTTGGCCTGTTGGGGGAACGTGAGGGGGATACCCGGGTAAGGTCGTGTTTGCCATATCCCGGCCTGCAGAGACAAAGTAGATACACACAAAACGGGTTAATGTACACCAATTTGTCCTACTTCTTGAAAAAAAAATAAAGATTTATCAGATGTAGTAATGAGATAAAACCATTTTACAGAAAATATTTCTATGTCAAAATGATCTTCTGTGAATTTTTCGCCCTTAGAGATAAGAGAAATTGGACAAACTGCTTTGAAAATGGAAGTAGGAAAATGTTCAAATGTTTTCCACAAGAGAAGGAAACTTTGTGTAGGTAAGACACCTGTCAGTGAAATGTATTCAGTGATTTCACTTTATAGAGCACCTTCCACATTGTCTATAAAATGTCTCATACTTAAGAAAACACATAATACATCAGCCAGTATTGTTTCGCTTGAAGTTGTGCTACTGCTGCCTTTTGGATCAGATAAACTGTGGTTCCCTCACTAACCAGTTCAAGCTGGTTTAAATATACCAGGTTAGTCAAACCCTACAAGGTTTCCTTGCTGTACAGTCCAAAACATTCAGGAGCTTTTTGCACAGCATCAATTCTTCGGCTGCAGATATTCAGCTCTGTAATTGAAAGCGACGGCTCGGCTGTCCTGTCCGGACGCGGGAACATTAGGACTCCAGCATGTAACCCCAATCCACGCAGCGGCGGGGGTAAAGGAGGCCCCTGCTATGTTGTCAGGACCACATGGTCTCAAAGAGAAGCTCGTCTATAAATAGAGATTTAATGAGGAACTACGGGATGAAATGACAGTAGACCAATTATTAACTGTAGTGGCAAAATGATTTTGTGATTAATTTAAGCGAGTTCACTGCTAAGTCCTGCTGTTGTCTATTGGTTTCATTAGATTTGGTGTCCTTATCAGAGCTACTTTTTATTGCTTTTGGTTACCTTTGTTCAGTGTATGAACTATTAAAGTTTCCTTTCTTATTTCTTTCTGGTGTTTCTTTTTTTTTTGCCACATATCTGATCTTTTTTTTTTGTTTCTGTGTATTTTTAGTTAATTTCTCTATACATTTTCTCCATTTCCTTGAATTTTTTCCTCTTCATTATGTTTTTTTCCAGCATATAGTACTTTTTAAAAATCTTTATTCTTGCATACATTGTACAGGGATTTGTAGAAGTAGTCCAGCTCATGAAGCTTTTTCATATTTTACGACACAACCATGAATGTGAGTGGGTTTTGATTGGAATGAGTTTGAAGTTATAAGGTTAAAGGAAAGTTATACATGGATTTGAATTTCTTTTACAGATACAAATCTGAAAAATATTCACCCCCCTCTGCTCCTAAATAAAACCCAATGAAAAAAAAAGCCCTCAAAAATAAAATGGAATGGATCAATCCCAGGATACATGGAGATGTTATGTCACTGCCTCAAAGGAGCAGTGAGTGAGCAAACAGCATCATGAAGAACAAGCAGCCCAGCAAACAGGTAAGGCAGAAAGTTGCACAGATGCTTAAGGCACAGTAAGGTTACAAAAAAAAAAAAAAAAACATCCCAAGCTTTAAATCTCCATTATAGCTCAGTTCAAAGCACCTTTAAAAACCAGTTGCCAAGACTTACTGTCTGTCTAAACACACAGGCCAGGAGGGGGAACATTAAGGAGTGAAACAGCCGGGATTCCTGTTCAAACTCTGGATGAGCTGAAACGACTCAGACAGAAAAATCTCAAATGAAAAGTCACTTTTGCAAACTGCGGCGAAGGAGACACAACTCTGGAACATGGTGGTGGCAGCATCATACTCAGGGAATGCTTTTCTTTTGCAGGGACAGGGAAGCCTTTGAAGTTGCTACAAATTATAAAAAAATAAATAAAAAATTCAAAGTATTAGGAATATTTTCTTCTGGAAAATAGAACTATAATCCAAATGCCTTTTCGTCACTTCACAAAGAAAAATTAACTTTTTTTTTGAAGCAAAGCAATTTATTCCTTGAGCTTATGCTGATTAAACTATACATTCCTATCTTTAACTTTGGATTATAAACAGGAATAAACATTTTTGATGTATTTTACAACACAGCCAGGAAGATCAGCTGAAATCTAGGTGTACAAGTCATAAAATCCTACTTAAAATTACTTTTAGATGTATTTTTTTCTTTCTTTCTTTTTCAAACAATGTCTTTGTTTCTTTGTAATTCTGGATTTATTTATTAACTGAAAAGGATTTATGAACTAAAACAAATCACGCGGGTGTGAATTCTCTACTAAAGCAATGCTGAATAATATGCATCTCTTTACTATTATCGTAAACGATCAGATCCGACGTCTGACGCTGAGAATGTCACGTTAAACAGCTGTTTAACGACCTCTTGTTGAACAACTGTTCTCCTTTGTTTGCACCGACGGCCACGTTGTATGAGTGCCTGCTGAAATGTGTCTTTTTGTTAAAGCGCTCAGACTCCAGGGCCGAGAGTTAAAGAGCTTTGCAGAGAAGAGTGAGGTCATGCTGGACCTTTCATTTATTATAAGAATTAGTTAGCCACAAGCCAGTGCACATAAGTCAAAGGGAGCCGTGGGAGTACTGTAGTGGGGGGTCCTGCAGGGGTGAAGCCATTGTGTGCTTGTGTGTGAATGCGTGTGTGTGTGTGTGTGTAGACAAGGGTAACAACTGCCAGTGTCTGCACACTGACCTTATTTTTGTTATTACTGCAAAAGCCTTTGCTGCTTTAATGAAAGTCTTGTGTTTACACACCTGACTTAAATTCGCTGATTTGTGATAATAACTTTACTTAACACAGTCACATCAGTTTGAGCGTCTCTTTGAGAAATATCTCCCCTCTATGTCAAGAACAACAATGTCTTAAGTCTTAGGACGATGAGATAAAAGTAGGGAAAACTGACGACCGACTAAAAAAAAAAAAAAAAAAACTTGCTAATGTGGGTTGGTCACTTCATCAATACAAGCCCTGATATTGATTTAGTGGATCAAATCAGGTGATCAATACTTCCAGGTCAACCCACACTTCACTCAGACTTAACTAGCATCATTAAGACACAGTGTTTTGTTTTTTCATCCTCACTGCTGTGACACAACAAAGCCTCCAAAGCCTTGCAGAAGCATTCAGAGGCCCTGAACGTTTACACATTTTGCATTATTACAACCGCCAACACGAATGAATTTTATCCAGTTTTTATGTGATAGAGCGGCACGAAGCAGTACAAGAAATGTGTATACACTCAATAAAAATACACATATACCTGTCTAAAGTTAAACCAGAATAAACTTCTCTTGGTTTAGGTCAGCTAGAATTACCAAAATTGCTTCTATTTGCTAAATGTCACAATAGCGAGAGAAAGAATATATCAGTGATTGAAATAATAATGTCTTCAAAATCAGAAATGTACATACAGGATGATTACTATCTATTTGCACAATGAGGAAAAGTCCAGATCATGTCCCGGCTGTGGAAACTTCTCGTAGGTTGACGGACAAATTTATTTGGAGACACACCTGTGGATGCACGAAGAATCGAACTGAAAGGAATAACGGCTTCCTTTCACCAATAACTTTCTCTTTCGTTAAGTGTAAATTTCTAATGTGCTGGGAAAATGACTATCTTCTGTTTCTGGATGATGGATTGAACAATGAGACACTATGCACTCAGATTTACATCAGATCTTTAGTGCAATAACACTTTTACTTTAGGGTAAACAAGCGAATACAAATGAATGGACAAATGATAAAAACCATGTTTGTTTCCCGTTTACGCGCACATTTCAGTTCATCTTTCACGCACATCCGAGACGTCAGAATAACGTGCACTGAGTTTTGTGGTCGTGGGAAACTTTAGATTTGAAAATGCTGAAATATGTTTGCAGGGCAGCGTAAATGTGTGCACGCTGAATGTGTTCTTCAGCAGCCGGTGCTGAATCGTGTTTTTGGTGGAAGCTCTCTGACGCTTTGCTTCATGTCCTCCTTTCCAAGCGCTCTTTCAGAGATTCGCAGAACTCTCTGTACACCAATGATAGCCTCATTAGCTGCCTCCTAGTCTTTTGTTGTTTTTACAAACAGAGATGTGTGTCGAGGTTCTCATTAAAAGATGGCCTTCCTTTATGCTGTCTGCTTCCTCTGACAGTCGCCCCTTAGATTGAATGCCAGCAAATCAAGCTATTTATTTTCCTCTACGTCCCCTTCATGCCCCCCATCTCTCCCCATCTCTCCCCAGCCAAAATCAATTCAAAGATTTTTTTTTTTTTTTTTTTTACAAAAACCTGTTGATTTCTGACTCAAATTGAGAAGCACCTTGTTGGGGTAATACAGCTCTCCTGTTTGAAACATATTGCACTCTACAGTTTGCTTGAAGTTTTTTCAGGATGAAATTAAACGAACAACACAGAAATCAACCTGATGTTATCTTTAAACAGATTATTTCATTCTTGGGTTTTTGGTTTTGCGGCTTTGCGGCTTTGCGCCGGCTCGGTTTCTTCGCACACAAATGGAAAAGCAGGGTGACCTTCTCTTTATTTGGCACATGAACAAAGTCATTTGTGAATGACTCTTTTGCTTGCAAGAGTATTAAATTTAGCATGTCAGGGACACCTTCATGTTTGCTACAACAACAACCAAAAATCTCTGACCTCCATTTTCGGGGCAATATGCAGAATGGGGCAATTTATCACCAGCTCCCCCACAAAAAAAAAAAAAAAAAAAAAAAAACTACCACCCTACTTAATTACAACTAAGTAAAGAATGTTTGGAGAGCCAAATTGCTTTAATTCCCCAAACACCAGCTGAAAGTCATTCATTATCAAATGTGTGCTCAAAGGTTAGTTTGCTTTTGTAAAGACGAGATGAGCATTAATTTCAGAGCCCACGTTTTCCCCTGTGGGGTGACATGCCAACGGTTTGCGAGGACGGTGGCGGGTTTACTCTCTTTTCCTTGGGTCTTGATGCTTTATGTGAACCTTTCAGCGTCCGCACTTTAAATACAGGCACATCTTAATAAATGAGAATATCATCCAAAAGTTGTATTTCTTTTTTTGTATTTGTTCAATTTATCAAATTAAATG